AGATCCACAGGCACCTACGTCGATGAGGTTCCCCCCCCTGGGACGAACGTAGTCGATGGCATGTGGATCTACAGGGTGAAGCGGCCACCAGGATCTCCTCCAGTCTTCAAGGCGCGCTACGTTGCTAGAGGTTTCAGTCAGCGCGAGGGAGTTGACTTCTTTCAGACCTTCGCGCCCACCCCGAAGATGACCACTCTTCGGGTGTTACTGCACGTAGCAGCACAGAGAGACTACGAGTTACACTCTCTCGACTTCTCCACTGCTTTTCTTCAGGGCAGCCTACACGAGGAGGTCTGGCTGCGTCGTCCCTCTGCCTTCACTGGCACTTTCCCTCCTGGGACCCAGTGGAGGCTGAGGCGACCTGTCTACGGTCTTCGCCAGGCACCTCGTGAGTGGCACGACACTCTTCGCTCTACCCTCTCTGACCTTGGGTTCCAGCCGTCTTCTGCCGACCCGTCGCTGTTCATTCGCCGTGGCTCCACACCGTTCTTCGTTCTGGTTTACGTCGACGACCTAGTTTTCGCCACTGCTGACAGGGTTGCTTTGGCACACGTGAAGTCCGAACTGCAGAAGAGACACACGTGCACTGACCTTGGTGAGCTGCGCCATTACCTTGGGCTGCAGATCACCAGGGACAGAGCTGCTCGCACCATTACACTCTCACAGTCACACATGGTGCAGCAGGTCCTTCAGCGGTTCGAGCTTCAGCACTCCACAGTACAGCGCACACCTCTTGCTGTTGACCACAGACTCACTGGCCCCTTTCCTGACGAGCCGTTTGAGCCTAGTGGTCCCTACGCAGAGCTTGTGGGTTGCCTCATGTACCTGATGACTTGTACTCGCCCGGACCTCGCTTTCCCTCTCAGCATCCTTGCGCGCTTTGTTGCGCCAGGGAGACACCGTCCTGTTCACTGGACAGCAGCTGTGAGGGTGGCGAAGTACCTAGCGACGACATCAGGCGTGGGGCTAGTTCTTGGAGGGCAGCAGTCTGTTGTACTTACTGGTCACTGTGACTCCTCTTACGCTGACGACGCTGAGACTCACAGGTCTACTCAGGGGTACTGTTTCAGTCTGGGTTCTGGAGCTGTTTCCTGGCGGTCCACGCGCTCCTCTTCGGTCTCGACCTCTACAGCTGAGGCTGAGATCTACGCTGGTGCCATGGCGGCACAGGAGCTGCGTTGGTTGACGTTCTTGCTTGCCGACCTTGGTGAGCGGCCGAGCTCTGCACCGACCTTGTTCACTGACAACAAGGCATCCATTCTCCTTTGTCGAGAGCCGCGACTGGAGAGCAGAGTGAAGCACATTAACGTCAGGTACTTTCTTCTGCGAGAGTTGCAGAGGCGTGGACAGGCTCGCTTCGAGTTTGTGGAGTCTGAGGCCAACACTGCAGACATCTTCACCAAGGCGCTTCCGCCTTGTGACCACCACAGGTGTTGTGTGCAGTTAGGCCTTGTTGACACTGGTTTTCGGCTTACTTAGTCTTGAGTTCACTGCTTGCTTTGCTTGTACCCTTTCTATATATCTCTGTTATTGTTTGGACTGGCCTTGTGGCCATTGTTGCTTGTGCTCAGAGTTTGTGGTGACGTTGTGATCCACCCTGAGCTTTGTTTCTTTGTGACTGGTCTTGTGACCGTACTCTTTTGGTTTTGCTAGACACCCCTCACTTAGGCTATGGGGGTGTGTCAAATGTTGGTAGCCTGTAGTGAGATGTGTCTTTGGGGGTACGTATGTTAGGGTTTGCTACTTGTACCCCAACCACCATCAATGGCACCACACTTCCGATCTTGAGAGCTGGTGACGGGATGATTGGTTTGAGCCTCAAAAGCATGGGAAAGTGCAAATGTTTGTGACGTTTTCGGAGTGAATATCACAAAGTTGGATTGCTATCGAAGCGAGGGCTACTATGGTGTGTTGATACGGCATGACATAGCGGTCTCAACAGCTGAAATAATTTCTGGTGGAGTTTACCATGATGGATCCACCACCAATCCGACAAGCCACGACAACGCAATATATACAATGACGTACACACGATTGTACGGATGGTTCTAGCTCCTAAAAAGTATCTGAAGGAGGATCACCCGTTTTAATTAGTAACAGTACTCCATGGACGTCAGCTGAGTGACATTTCTGCCACTCTGAACAACTCAGAACGGAATGGCGCTGCTGACCGCAGGGTAGACTGTGTAGACGGGCAGAGCCATTATTTGGCGTCCAGCCTTCTCGTCGCATAGCCATGCGATAGCTCCGACGGGCCATGCGACCACAGCGGCGACTGCCATGGCGACAAGACCCAGGGTGGGCCCGACGACCTTCACGCCGCAGGGGTTGTCGGGACTGCCGACCTCGATGAAGAAGAGACACATGACGCTCGCTTGCTTGCGGAGAAGATCCTTTGAAATGAAGAGGTTGCAGCACAGGACTTAGAAAGATTGTGAGCGCTGGCAGATGAAGAGCGTATTTAGTTTCTGTTGGTTGAAAGCTTGATGAGACTCTAAATCCAAATCGCCATTTATATACCTGTGCAATGGAAAGCTGACGCGTCGTTCTAGAATTCACATAACATTCACTTTCCGCCTGAAGGATCTCGATGACCAAGAGGAGGGGAAGCGTGCCCTTGGGGAGCACGCGAGCAGCGGAAGCAAGCACTCGCTGGGAAGGTCTCGAAAAGTCTGGAATAGTCTGGAAGCAACTGGTTTCCGGATAGCCTCCAAATATGTCGCTGGTAGCAGGGGCGACATAAGCATTAGGACGCATTACTATGTCTACATCTATAATAATTAAATATTCAGATATACAGAGCTGACACCAATGTTCAATATTCTGATATACATAGCTGACACCAATGAGTGTAGAAAACAAAATGATATAATATGCACCCTTGATTTCTTGAATTATATTGATCTAATGTGCAAGACCGAGTCATTCAATGCGAATGTTGTGAATTATGAGACAGGCGTTATATATTGTAACATTGATATGAGATAGACCCAGCGGTTCATCATATTTTTCTGGTGATTGCATATAGATTTCGTCTTCGCTAATGAAGTGTTCGCCATCCCCGAGTTGCCACCACGTGGCACGAATACAGGCTCACACCCTATCATGCGGACAAGGAATTTCCTTTCCATCAGTCGAACCGCACAGCCTCAATTTTTGCAAGCTGCAAGGGCACCATTTCCCCTTGCCCTCTCTTCTTGAGCAATCCGTTCCCTACAACAATCACTTGCTCGACATCTGAGCGTGCTGCGTTACAAGTCTGCGGCTATCGTCATCCCTCGTATGCTTCGGCCATATCCTTCCTTTTTGGTCGTATGCCTATTTCTTTTCAGGTTTCGTGAAATTCTCTGCAAGTTGTGCCCTGCTCTTAGGAAGACCCCGCGTCCCACTCTGAAGTTTGACACAGCTGCTGCCGCCATCATCATGTCGACCATGAAGATGAAGACAACCCATAAGCAGAGAGACACGGCGGAGAAGTTCCGCAAGGCGCACGAGGCGTACGGCGCTGCTGATCAGGAGGAGAGCTTCTACATCACGTCCACGAGCCTGGGCAAGGACGGGCACTTCCCGAGGCAGTGCACGGGCGACGGGTCCGTGCAGCACCACGACCTGTCGCCCGCCATTGAGTGGCACGACGTGCCCGATTGCACGGAGACGCTCGCGATTGTGATGGAGGACATCGACGCGCCGGACCCGGAGGCACCGATTGTTCCGTTCACGCACTGGTCAGTGGCTTGCAGAACTAACGATTCTGATTTTTTTACGCTGCTCTGTTTTGAACAGGCCTTTTCAGCGCCTCATTTTGCAAGATTTCACAATGTTTATTGAGAACAATTTCATTGACGAGCTTTGTGCTTTTTCCCTACACTAACGTGGTGGTGGGTGCACAGGGTGGTGGCGAACATTCCTCCAAGCCTCAAAGGCAAGTTGCACCTTTCCCACCCTCCCCAAGTCCCCCATCCATCTTATATTCGTCCTTTAAGGACTCGCCGCCCACGCCCTGTATTCCTGGATTCCAGCAACGCTTTCCGTTTCTAGTTTTTTCCCTGCTTTTTCCGTCCTGATGTCCCAACCTGCTATCGACCTTTCATCCAGCATGCTCTTCCCGATAACCTTGCAGGGCTGCCGGCGGGGTTTTCGACCAAGGACCATGCGAATGACCCGAAATACGAGGGCGTTCAGGAGGGCGTGAACGACTTCAAGCTGCCGCACTACCGCGGGCCCAACCCGCCAACTGGCACACACCGCTATGACATTGCTGTGTATGCACTGGACTGCCGTATCCACATGGGCAAGGTGGGTGACTGACTTCCACATGTGACCTACGGTACCACACCTAGGAAATGTGTGTTCACACATTTGAGCTAGCTGGCAGTTTTTGAGGTACAGTTGCAATCTTCGCTATAGGTGTTCAATAGTCAGCTCTTCACCTGGCAACTCGCCGTTCACCTCTTGCATGGCGTGCTTGATGGCAGATCACCAAGGAGAAGCTGCAGAAAGCAATGGAGGGGCATGTGCTGGGGGAGGCCCACCTGGTTGGCACATACAGCAAGGAGAAGTTTCCATCTGGCTATGACCAGAGTGTGATTGCTCCTCAGGTGAAGGAGCAGCCTTTTGGTCACTCCCAGCATGCCATGGGAAGATAGGCATGCTGTATCAGGTGGGGAATGAGCAGGAGGTTTATTTCTCAAGAATTTTAACTTTTGTGATTGAGAGCTTTGATAGCTCTGATAGGAAGCTACCTTGTAGACGAGACAGGAGGGTTGCACCTGAGCCATTAGCGTTTTGCTGCCGTCCATTTGTTTTCTTACTTTGAAAAGGAGTACTCTGATTCTGGTAATGATGTCAGCCGATTACTATTTTGCTTAATGGTTCTGAATATTGGAATCCCTGCTGGAAATATCTGGATCCACTCACTTTTCTTTTCAAAAATAAAACAGGTCTAGTTTGTTTCATATGATAAAACCATTTATGCGGTGTTGAGAGCGGCTGGCAGGGTTTCAAGGCCACGAGGTGAACTCGAAAACCTTGCCGACAATCTCCAGGCCGGTGGGGATCTGCCACACGAAGAGCGCAAGGTTGAGCATGTTGAGCGCCACGTGCGCCTTGCGCGCCACCATGTTACCCTTCTGCATCGCCGGCACCAGCGACGCAGCCAGCGCCCACAGCACCGTGATGGCTGGCGGAGGGCGAGCGGAAAAGGGAGGGGGGAGGAGGAAAAGTTAAACAGGGTAACTGGGAACGAATGGGTATGGGGTTCGAAACAAAACGCTGCGATCCATGAATGTAACAAAAGAGAAAACGATGTGAGGATACAATGGCCCGCGACTCATGGGGGAAGACGCAGTGGGATAAGAGGTGGGCGGGGCGAGGAGCGAGGGGGGGGGCTTACTGGCGCCGGCCCAGAGGTGGGGACCGGGGAAGAGCTTGCCGGTGCGGAACCAGGTGTTGACGCACCCCTCCACGGCGATGAGCACACCGAAGCCCAGCAGCAGCGACCCCACGTTGAAGTGCTTCTCACGGTAGTTGCCCTTCACCAGCTCCGCGCGTTGCTGCCACGCCGTGGCACAAGGGAGCGAGCGGAAGGGTTGGGAGGAAATGGAGGGAGCGAACGTGGGGAAGAGAACAAGGGGAGGGGAAGGGGAAGCGACAGGATAAGTGATTGCGGATTGCGTTTCATGCGGCAGATGAGTGATTGCTCATCAATGCGCAGTCCCTGAAGTGTGCGCGCATGAAAGCAATGACGAACTTTAGGGCACGTCGATAGGTGCACTCGTTACTGTATCTGTGCCTACGCAACGTGGCAACTTTCGCCGAACCGGGTCGCCCTTTAACTGGTGCGTCAACGACCGAAGGGCGAGCACAAGCCAGCGATACCACGTGACGTGACGCGACCGGGGTGCGAGAGTCCACTCACCGCAGTGAGCGTGGCGATCTCGCCGGACAGTGGCGACGCCGCAGCAGCCTCCTCGCCAGCCGGGAGCTGCTTCTTGAGGTCCTGGATCTTCTCGCCAACGACGCGGACCTGCTTCCACTGGCGGCCCAGGTAGAACGCGTAGAGCGTCGTGAAAAACAGCCCGCCCATCACGAACGGGTGCACCAGCGCCGCCGTCCGGCCCTCGAGAAGGCCGAACTCGCCGCCCACGGCCGTGGCGTCCTGCTCTTGCGGGCGGGGGAGGAGACAATGCAAGCACGCGGGGTGGAATCGGATATGCCAAGGTGGGGTGTCGTACATGTTCGGAAAGAGAGACCGGAGAAGGCCTTTTGAGAAGCGGGATAAGAGAGCGAGGGCCGAGAGGAGGGCGAGGCGAGGAGAAATGGAACAGCAATGAAGCCAGAGGCACGTCCCAGAGGCTGTGGGGCGGATAGGAGGTACATCGAGCAGCGAAAAGCCGCAAGTCCAGTCTGCCCCACAAACGACGAGCCCTGTCCACTACATTCCGAGGCATTACCTTCATGTGGTGCACCACACGGACCCACCCACTGCTGTACACCCATTCATATTTTTATTTTCTCCATTTTACTCAAGATGAGCTCGGATGTTTAAAAAAAGAGGCAAACGGCAGCTGACCGTTACGCAGAAACGTAGCGCGAGCAACTGCGACAAGGAAGCCTTTGCTATTTACCTGCACGTTGAGCAGGAGCGGCGTCATGGCGGCAGCCGACATGAGCGTCGCCTTCTCCAAGAAGCCCGATGCCAGGAACGCCTCCTGCTCGCCCGCATTCTCCACTCTCTTAGCCACCACCGGCTTGCTGCTGCTGCTGCACGTCACTCTAAGAGCCGCGCCACGCCTTTGAGCAGTGCTCCTCGTAGAGAGGAAGACGGGCAGAGCGGCCAGATTTGCGGTCTTGCAAGTGACCGCTTTCTTCCCGGCGGAAGCCGTAGCGAAGCATCCGGCCGTGGGAAGGGCGACTGCGAGTGCGGCCATGGCTGCTGAAGGTGGGTCGAAGAGCGAGTACAGGGTGGGGGGAATATGAAGGGTGATGGGTGGGAGGCTGCTGCGATGGAATGGTGGTGTTCGACTTTGATTTTCCTGAGGCGGTGCTGCGCTTTGTAGTGCTAATGGGGAATGATATTCTGATGGGGGGTGTTTGGATGACCAGTTGCGGGTTTCTGGTCGCCACAAGTGTCATACTTCTGAGCCCGGTTGTCATCAAGTGTGCACCAAAATTCGGACGGGCCTCGGATAGTTCCTGTCAGCGAGTGTTCTCCGGACACGCCTCGGTGTGTTCATTTTTCCTGGCTCGTTTGTTAGCTGTGGTGGCTGATGATGGCACTGGAGATTCCTGAAGTGGTGTAGTGACGTGGGGCTGGCGGGAAAATATGACGAAGTCGGGTGGGAGGGGAAGTGTGGGGGGAGGGAGGTAGGGAACCCCTTGCCACCACGGATGGGCAAGACCAGTTTCCAGGGAAAGTGACATCGAAGTTGCATATCCACGTTGCGAGATTCAAGTGGTCAAAACTAGATGACCAACGCATCCGGAGTTTGTAGTCCAGACTGGCGAAGACGCATTTGACACGTCTTCACGTCCTTTTTGAGATCGGCACGGCATCTCCTTTTCCTGCTCTAGTAGCCACGTGGACATAGAGGCATCCAGAACTTCTCTCTAAAGGCTCGTCCCTTGGCACCAACACAACTTTAAATGGTGTACTCACCCGTCTCATCTCATATTACATAAGTTGGAGCAACCATATTTGAAGCACCGTGATTCCCTAATGAAATACCTTCCGGAAAAAGAGTCTTCCAGGAATATTATGCGGAAGAGGGTAATCAAATTTCTCGTCATCTAAGGTATTTATAATAAAATATTTTGTTGTACACGGTAATAATGAATTCACTAGCGAAGGAAATATGTTAAAGTAGGATAGGAACTTTGAGCATTAGAAGGTAGGCAAGTTACCAGAGGCATGGCGAGAAGTTTATCGGGGAGACGCAGCTGCAGGGGTGGGCGTAGGATGGGTGAGGGTGGTGGTGGTGAAAGGTGGCGGTGGCAGTGTGGGTGACGGGGGTGGTGGAGATGGTGGTGGCGGTGGGTGTGGCGGGGGTGGTGTGAGGAGAATTACTATATTCGGACAAGCCTCGGATAGTTGGACTACAGGGAAGGCATAGATTTTAGAAGTGATCATAGCGTTCCCTAGCGTTTGCTTGTGTTCCCTCTACGCACACATTCACGAAAAGGTTGGATTTTAGACCGATAACAACAGCAAAGGCAACAATGACTACATCAGAGCCTAGCAACCTGCAAGCAAGCTGGTCGACCGCCAGCGCAGCACGGTCAACAACTGCCAGCATTGTTTAAAGGCACTGCGCCCGCGTTGAAGAAGGGCGACCTGCTAACAGAGCAAGTCGGCGGCATGCCAACGCTGCACCAAGGCAGTCTGCAACGCTGCAGCGGAGCGGTCTGCCAGCATTGCATCCGCAGGTGACAGTAGCGTATGTGCTGCCAGCCCGAATGTCACTCGTTGTCTTGCCATGCTTGTGTTGGACCCTACATTTTTGTCTGATGATGTGTCTGTCTTTGTTGTTGAGCTCAGTGACTTTGCTGCTACTTGCCGCCTTTGCGGAGATAACTCTCGTAACGGGAGCTAGACTACGGGCTAGGCACGTGTGCTCGTGTGATCTCTGCGTTCGTTGGTCCTTAGTCGTTTTCCTAGTGCGCACACTACTTGCTAGTTCACAAGGAAATTTGGCAAGAGTTTCACTAGAGAAAGTTGACAACAATGATACAATGAAGTTGGCTAGGAAAGACTACATCAGAGCTAGGATGCAAGCAGATCGACTGCCAGCGCAGCACGGTCGACCGCGTGCCAGCACGACTTGGTCGACCGCGCTCCAGCAGTGCAGAGACGCGGCTTGCCAACGCTGCAGGTCGACGGCGTGACAACAGCGCAAGTCGACGGCGTGCCAGCGTTGCTCCTGCAGTCCAGCATCGCACCCGCTTCGCAGGTGCTCGTAGGTGATTGGCGCGCACTGCTTCGTCACCTGCACAGCACACAAGTCCACCTTGTGCTGACGACTGCATCTGATGCACCACGTCGACCTCGGGATACCATCACCGAGGTCGTCCTCGCCAAAACCACCTGGGCGACCTTCGCAAGCCTTCGCAGCACCTTGCCACCCAGGTAACCTGGTTGACTGGGCAACCAGGTCGACCAGAGGCTCCAGTGCGTGCCCGTCGACCACCCAGGTCGACGACCACTTCCGGTCGACCTCCCAAGGTCGACCACTGCCTCTGGTACGTGCCGGTCGACCTCCCAAGTCGACGGCCACCTCCAGTCGACCTCCCCAGGTCGACCACTATCCCCTGGTCGACCAGCTCCAAGTCGACGTCACTCCTGGTCGACCAGAAGGCCTGGTCGACGTCCCTGGTCGACCAGAAGGGGTTGGTCGACTTCCCAGGTCGACCAGAAGGTCTGGTCGACGTCTCAGGTCGACCAGAAGGGCTGGTCGACTTCCCAGGTCAACCAGCCGAAGTTGGCGCCCTCCTGAAGTCGGCGCCCATGCAGTGGCTCCCCGTGCAGGTCGACCAACCTCGTCGACCAACTCGCCCACTGCTGCAGGTCGGCTGCACCCTACACCCAACCACGAAATCGGCTCCGCCCAAGCGAGGACGGGGCCAACATACAACTCCCGTTGACACTCCTCTGCCGCGTTCACGCTTGGGCCCCCAGCCCACACGACAGTACTTCTCGGAGACAAGCTCGTCGACGTGCACCCAACACACAGCACGTCGTCCACCGCACCAGCCATGCAAGAGGGCATGGCACCTACTGTTGCACGTCGTCGTCGCCGTCGCCCACGTCGGCCAGACGCACTTGGCCGATTGCAACGGAGCACCGGTTGAAGGCCGGATAGTGCAGCGCCTTCGTGAGGAAGTCGGCCGGCTGCTCAGCGGTCGGGATGTACTGCAGCGCAAACTTCCCCCGCTTCACCATGTGCTGCAGCCAGGCCTGTCGCCGCTCCATGTGCTTGAGGTTGCCCGTCAACCCCATGCCCTCGGCGACTGTGATGGCCGACTTGTTGTCCACCCGAAGGACAGTCGGCTTCCCAGCATCCAACTGCTGGAACTCTGCAAGGAGGAAGCGAAGTCGGCGTCCCTCCTTGCCGGCTTCGACGGCCGCCACGTACTCCGACTCGGTCGACGACAGTGTCGCGCACTTGATGCGCTGGCTCGACCAGGAGACCGCGGCCCCTCCGTAGACGAACACGTAGCCGCCCGTGCTCGTCCTGCTCTGCTTGTCACCGGCGTCGTCGGCGTCCACGTAGCCGACCAGCTCCAGCAACTCAGGTCCACCGCCGAACTCCAGGGCGGTGTCACGCGTGTTGGCGAGGTAGGCGAGGCAGCGGTCGACCTCGCGCCAGTGCTGGTCGCTCCTCACCGTGAGGCCGCTCCCCAGCTTGCTGCAGGCGAAGGCGATGTCCGGCCTCGTCGTCGTCGCCGCGAACTGCAGCGAGCCGACCTTCTGCCGGTATTCCTCCTCCTGTCGCTCCTGTGCCTCCTCGTCGTCGAAGGTGAGCTCGGCGTAGGCGTCGACCGAGACCGGCGTCTTCGGAGTCCGTCCGCCCTGCTCCTCGTCGATGAAGCGCCTACGCAGCTTGTCGGCGTAGCCCTGCGTTTGCACACTGACCCTGCTTTACCACTATTCTGCATCCTCATATACGCATATGAATTAGTCTTTGCAACTGCTGATAGTGAGGTACTGGCCTTTGTGAAGGCAGAGTTGCAGAAGAGACATGCCTACACTGATCTGGGTGAACTGCGATCCTATCTTGGCTTGCAGATCACCCGAGACAGAGTAGCACGCTCCGTCACTCTGATTCAGTCACACAAGTGCAGCATGCACTTCAGCGCTTCCGCTTCAGTTCTCCTCGACACTGCATATTCCTCTGCGTACGGGCCATACGCTCTCAGCTCCACATTTGGACAAGGTCGTAGAGCCTAGTGGTCCGTATCCAGAGCTTGTGGGTTGCCTCATGTACCTGACCTCGTGTACCCTTCATCATCCTAGTTTGCTATGTCGGGCCGGGGAGACACTGACCTGACCACTGGAGGGCTTTTAGAAGGGTACTACGCAACGTGGCCAGTGCATCAGGTTTAAGACTTGTGCTTGGGGGACGGGGTCCAGTTGCGCTCACAAGGCACTCAAACGCCTCGCGGGCCGACGAACAGGAGACTTCTCGGTCTACATAGGGTCACACTTTCAGCCTTGGTATTGGATTTGTGTCATACAGGTTCACTCGTTCGTCTTCTATACTTAGTTCCACATGTGAGCCGAGATGTACGCTGTGGCTATGGCTAACCTAGTTGCTCACCGACTTAGGTGAGCGGCCTAGTTCTACGCCGCTTCTGTACGCTGACAACAAGGCCATGATTGTCTTATATTGGAAACAAAAATTTGAGCGCAGAATGAAGCACATTGCATTTTGTTACTTTCTTATGTGAGAGTTGCAGCATCGTGACTAGGTTCGCCTTACTTACGGAGCCTACGAGGCCAGCATTGTTGATATTTTTACCAAGGCCCTTAGACCTACACTGAACGAAAATATTGTTCACATGTTCATGTTTCGAAACAAGGATGGGGAATTAGTGGCTATTGTGATTAAGCCTTAATAACATAACGCCATGAGGACACAGGCTGGAGGTTTGTGCATCGGTTCACATTGCTGCATGGCCTCAAACACGGTTAAACAATCAGCACATATAGTAAAAGGCCAATACTAGCATATGGACATTTTTTTTTTTTTTTAACACAGTCACACAAGCAAAGCATGCTGAATCTAGTACTTAGTCTAGCGACCCTTGGCCTTGAGCACAGCCCGCACACGCCTAGGCATGCTGTCGATCAGCTCACTGCACCAAGCCGCAGGGATCTTCTCCCATTCCACTTGTACTCTGTCCCACAGCTCAAGAATGCCTGTAGGGGGCG